GACATCAGGGTTATTTTCTCAGACTACAGGAGACATGTTGTGCTGCTTTTAAAAATGTCTTCCTGAAGCAATATATATGGATTTGTTTAGTTGCTGGTGTCTTCCACTGTGTATTAAAAAGGGTGGTGCCTCAGGGTCAGCTGTCATAACCTGATTGTTTTGTTTTCCTTTGCAGAACTCAAGTCCTCAGACAGAAGCCCCGAAAGAAATCACAATGTCATCTTTACATCTAGAATCCACAGCCCTGACTTTAGAAAAATGTGGAACCTCTACTGGGAAGGCCAATGATGTTCCCGGTCCTACAATCCCAACTATTGTTATCTCCCAATGCGATCCTTCTTCAGAACCGCCTGAGGAAGCAGAAACCAAAACCGAGCCGCAGTCTGCAAACGAAAACTGCTCTCAGGACAAAACTGAAGACTCTGATAATCCCTTAACCACTCACTTTAAAATGATTTTCAAAGGACTGACCCGATCCAGGTCACAAGAGTCTTTGGCCTCCACAAAAACCACTGGTGATGAAGACCCGCCCGATTCAGAATCCACGCCACACTGCAGCCACCATGGAGGCGAGCAGGGGGAGAGTGCGGAAAGCCTGTCGTGGCTTCATTTCAGTGCAAGGTCAAATAAAAAGGAGAAAACATGTTTCAAGATGTCAGGTGGAGCGAATAAGACCAAAGGGAAGGACCAGGGCACTTTGCCAAGAGTGGAGGACTCCCAGTGTCAGAAGACCCAAGTCAACTGGGAGCAGCTAGAAGCAACAAAAGCCATATTTGATCTGCTGAAAGAAATATCCGGTTCGTTCAGAGTTCACACTCAGAGGGGATTGTTCACAGCATTAACAGCTTCAGGATCATACCAGTGTTTTTGTATGTTGTTGTCTATTTACTTGAAATCACGTGTACTTTTTTAAACATATTGCAGCTTTTTAGATTAATGAAAGCATTCAATCATTTCAAGGCAGCAAGTTGTTTTATTTCATTTCAGTGCTCTAAGAAAATCAACCTGTAGGGACTTGATACTGACAAAGCCAATCCTTTGCAGGGAACATGTAGTCTACCCATTAATCATTGTGTGGTATTTCTAAGGTGAACGTATGGGCTGTTAGGAGGAGTCTTTTGGGTGGTGCATTCAGGTGCTTGTGATGAGCTCTGACAATCCGGGTTGGACAGTTGACAGTCAAACACCATCGTATTCACAGGCCCTGCTGTCAAATGGGAAGAGAGACAAAAAGCAAACACTGATGTGATGAAAAGGATTTTGTTAGATTGGTAACTTCATGCACTGAAGCTGTCTATGTAGCTGCCAGGACAGGTTGAAGGATATCTCAAATGCTTCAGGGAAAGGTAACTGGATTTGATGTTTGGTTTGTAAAATGTTTCACCACTCATCCAAGAAACCTCGTCAGGAAACAATAACAATAACAACCTTGACAAAAAAATAACCTTCACTGTGATTAGTTAGCTATCTCAAGCAAACTACAACATATAAAAGCTTCACATTGTACTGAAATAAACTAAAACCAGTGTCTTACTGGAAGGTTGGAAGAAAGCATTTAAAAAACTGAACACTTCATAAACTTGAGGAAATTACTGGCAGTCCTGTTGAACCTGCATTAATCAATATTTGTAATACTGACATTTAATAAAATGACTGTTATGTCAAATGGTCTTTAATGGTGCTAAAATTATGGAGAATCATCTTGTCAAGTCAATTTTATCTATATAGCAAACAAATTTCCCTCGGAGGGAGAGGGCTTTACAATCTTTGCCCAACCGTTCTCATTGACCGATAAGCTGTACAAACAAGCACAAAATGGTGGTGACAAGTAAGCTGAAACATGCAAAAACACTAATGTGGTCCTTTTTTAGGATGTTCTTGAAGATAAACTAACACATTGTTTGTCTTAACAGGAAACTCCATCCTCATAAACATATTTGATGCCATTTTGAAACCTGTTATGCCAATCTTGAAAAAGTAAGTTTGGTGTGACGTCCAATCAGATTCCAGATTTTTCTTCTCTGTTAATGACTTCTGGTTGTGTTGTATTTTCCTCCAGAAAAGTGAACTCTTTCCTGAACAAGATGAACCCAACAGAAGTGCAGATGGCCTCGTATATCGACACTATGCGTGACAAACAATGGCCGGAGTTTCAACCAGCAGCACCTCTTTCTCCTCGTCCTCCTCGCACCAGTGAGGGGAAGAACGAGACCAAGGACAGAGCGCACAACCTAATCAATGCCAGATGTAGGTGACACCTCTCTGCACTTGTAGAAGTTATTTTTAGTCTATAATCCATCTGAAATGTATTTTTTTATGTTCTCTGTAGATTCAAACTATCTTGTCCTGAAAAAGACGGACATGGAGTCTGTTTTTAATATTTTCCAGGACAGTGAAGAAAACAAAACGCTTGTATATGTGAGTATCTCAGTGTTTACTTTCTGTCACCATTGCGTGTTTATTGCATCTAATTTTCATGTTTTATTTATTATAGCATGCAAATCTTGTTTTGACTTTCTCGCCCTATCTTTCATAACAGAGCCTCCTGTCATTCCTGTTGGGGGAATTTTTTCCCAATGAGCATTCCCTAAATATGAGCGCTGCTGGCCTGCAGAAAGTGACCAACTCCAGCAACCGATCTGTGAATACCTGACTGTGTTTTTAATGGTAAACATTTTAGAATAGCAGATTATTTATTAAACATCTTAAAATGCCTTAAAATATGTGTGACCGAACATATCAAACATACTGTGAATTTACTTTGTATAGTTGAACTGCATATTTTAATGATTACACCTGAAATCAGAAACATTCTTTACTGGAGCCACTTTGTACCTTTATTGTTCAACTCAGAGGAGAAAGTAAACTATGTTTCATATTTACAGTTTGAATTTCACCCTTCACACTTTAATTTAAAATAATTTACATTTTTTAAAACATTTTTGTGTCACTTGTATGCACTTGTATGGTGAGATAGTTTGTATACTGGTTCATTTGGCTTGGTTATTTTAAGTTTTATATAATACTTCACAATTATTAATCACCTAAATCTGTAAAAGTGGACAACACCACAAAGGAAACTTGAAATAGTGTTTATGTAAATAACTTCGGAATTAATTCCAAATAAAATATTTTAATAAAAAGTTTTTTTTTTTTCAGTTATATTTCTGATTTTGTGTATTTATTACATTCATTATTTTAATGAGAATAAAATAATGAATGATGCCAGCAGGTTATTTGCTCAAAGCAATATTGTATATGTTTCAGATGAGTTTAACAAGTTAATCCACCGAGGGAGATCCTGTAGGTGAAGTCTGAGCTGTGGTAAAATAATTACTTAAATGAAAATACTAGAGAGAAATATCTTTATAATATACATTTTTCTTTTGGATTAAGTTAATACAAACATTCCTCAGATTTGAACCACATACTGTTTCTGCATCAGCTTGAAATTCGGTGCCAATCAGCTGAAAAACAATTTATATATAGCCAACAATGTTGGCCTTGTTTCCATAACCATTAATGGAAATGCTGCCTCTAATGCTCACTATCTCATTATGGAAATGTAACAGAATTAATTACAGGATTATTCTGGTCCAGGTCACAGGGGGAAGATTATCTGGCAGTGTAACAACATGAATTCATTTTTTATTCACAGAAGTTCCCCAGAGCGAGGTAACAACATCACACTGAACTTAAATTTGACTTTAAGTTACAGAAGGAAACTGGTCCGTTTTTTTTTATCTTATTACCAGTCTGATATGATCACTTCTTAGCGTGGGTTCAGAATGACATGTCTGTGCTAAAATAACAATAATTTCAGGATCAAAGTTCATTCTTCACCTTTTAAAGAACAAAAAAACAGCTCACCACAAGGTCCATTTAGGACCTATTCTGAAGCTTAAATACATGGACCTTATCAGAAGATGTCTGTCTGTACAGTTGTCAGGGAGCTGTAGATCTATGACTGATGAAGGTCATGTGATCGAGATTCCCAGAATAGCTACTAAATGGAGCTCTTACTGCTAAACACACAATGAATGTTTTCACTGGAAACAATTATGAAACAACAGTATTGGGAAACAACATCAGTGACAGTTATTATAGTTAATATAACAGACCAAAGGTATTGTAAACATATATTAGTAAGGAAACAACAACAAAAAGCTGGTCAGATTACTCCCTTAAGACAGGAAGAAACCAAGTATGCTGTCACCAGTGAACATCCACAATATGAAGTAGACCTAGTACACAGTGAAAAAACATACACACAGAAGAGTAAGCGTGAAAAGCTCAACAGTATATCAGCAGCTGCTGCTACCGCCACATCATCCTCAGACTGCTAGTGTAACAGCTAACATGGTTGACTGTAAACTGAGTGCAGGAAATCGAGTTCAACGCATTAAAAAAAATATGTGAAACAAAAAATATGTTTGGTTACGTATCTGTCAAAATGGCGGGTGTAACCTGTAACTGCTAACTGTTCCAGTAACGGTTGCTACTAGCAACAGTAAGTTCAACGGAGACCAACTGCTGGTGTGATGTTTAATTTGCATAATGTGTGAAATACTCATGACATCTATAATATTAACATCTGATGGAGTAGCACAACCATTAAAAACATTAAGTCTTGAATATGTCACTCATTCGTTAATGAAGATTTAAAACAAGCTGATGATGGAAGCACGTGTGATAAGTGTCCACATTGTGCTCAGAGGAATGAAACATGGGGACAAAATGGGGGGAAAAGATAAACAACAATTATATTTACACATACATTTCCATGACAACTGGGATGCCATTTAAACAGACATTAGATGGGCCTTATATTAACTACGTGGCTGACTGTCCCGAACTGAATGTATGTTGTACAAATAAGAGGAAGGTTGAGTGTCAACAGCCACATAACCTGCTGAAGTGCCCTGGAGCAAAGCCCTCAGCTCAGGGCCTCCTCACAGATGCTGCAGCTGCTGCTCCTCCACACCGGCAGGGGGCAGCACGGTGGTAAACAGCAGCAAACTACCGGCTGTGCTCACTAATCCAACATGTCTGCGCCCTGAAGGATGCTGCTAACGGCGTGAAGGTACAGGACAAGTGACAGGTACGATACCACCGTGGGTTGTATCGGTTTATTTACTCTTTAACGCCTTCCTGGTTGAGCTGTTGTGAAGGTTTTAAGCTGTTTATTGGGATAGTCCGAGTATAAATGCAGGTAGAGAGCGAGTAGCTTCGTGCTGTTCAATGTGACCGTGTGTGTGTGTGTGTGTGTGTGTGTGTGTGTGTGTGTGTGTGTGTGTGTGTGTGTGTGTGGAGACTGTGTGTGTGTGTGTGTGTGTGTGTGTGTTGTGTGTTTTGTGGATGTGTGTGTGTGTGTGTGTGTGTGTGTGTGTGTGTGAGACTGTGTGTGAGACTGTGTGTGTGTGTGTGTGTGTGTGTGTGTGAGTGTGTGAGACCGTGTGTGTGACCGTGAGTGTGTGAGACCGTGTGTGTGTGTGTGTGTGTGTGTGTGTGTGTGTGTGTGTGTGTGTGTGTGTGTGTGTGTGACTGTGTGTGTGTGTGTGTGTGTGTGTGTGTGTGTGTGTGACTGTGTGTGTGTGTGTGTGTGAGTGTGTGAGACCGTGTGTGTGACCGTGTGTGTGTGTGTGTGTGTGTGTGTGTGTGTGTGTGTGAGACTGTGTGTGTGAGTGTGTGAGACTGTGTGTGTGTGTGTGTGTGTGTGACTGTGTGTGTGTGTGTGATGTGTGTGTGTGACTGTGTGTGACTGTGTGACTGTGTGTGTGTGTGATGTGTGTGTGTGACGTGTGTGTGTGAGACTGTGTGAGAGACTGTGTGTGTGTGTGACTGTTTGTGACTGTTTGTGTGTGTGTGTGAGACTGTGTGTGTGTGTGTGTGTGTGTCAGTATTTTAAAGATACTTGTCGCACATTGTATCAGTCTTGCAGTGGTTACTCGTCACGTGGTTTGATGGATTAATCGGGTCCTTAAAGGAAACATTCATTCATGGTGTTCAGGAGGAAAACTCACAACTCCCATCAGAGGCGTTGCTATGGTTGGAGGACGTTCAGGGCTTTAAGGCTGGTTTATAGTTACATACAGGGAGGCCAGAAACCAAATGGTGTTGTGGGTCACGTTAGTAAGGATGTGAAGGACTCACAAATATATTTTATTTGAAACTCCAGCTAAATCCTAAATACATTATTTAGTATTAAAGGAAGCTGAAGTTTCACAGTTCTCATGGTGTTAAGTGTTGTCTTCCTCCAGCTAGTGGTAGCAAGTAGTTTCCCAGTCTTTGTGGTTAGTCTCCATCACATTTCACTTTAATCTGCATAGTTTGTAACTTTGAGGTGACTCCAACTATCCCTGTTGGGACAACCATTGGATGAAAACAGGTTTTAGAATCTGTCAAGCACTGATTTGACTTTTAAAAACTAGAGCCAGTGTAAATGTGGGACACCTGTTCACTGGGCTGTATGTTGCCTGAAGATGAAAATATATATATATATATATATATATATATATATGAGAGAGAGAGAGAGATTGATTGATTCACAAAAGTGAGCACACCCCTCACATTTCTGCAAATATGCATTATATCTTTTCGTGGGACAACATTGAAGAAATGACACTTTGATACAATGTAAAGTAGTCAGTGTACAGCTTCTATAACTATAATAATAAATTTACTGTCCCCTCAAAATAACTCAGCACACAGCCATTAATGTCTAAACCACTGGCAACAAAAGTGAGTACACCTCTAAGTGAAAATGTCCAAATTGTGTCTAAAGTGTCAATATTTTGTGTGGCCACCATTATCTGCCATCACTGCCTTAACCCTCTCGGACATGGAGTTCACCAGAGCTTCACAGGTTGCCACTGGAATCCTCTTCCACTCCTCTATGACGACATCACAGAGCTGGCGGATATTAGAGACCTTGTGCTCCTCCACCTTCCGTTTGACGATGCCCCACAGATGCTCAATAGGGTTTAGGTCTGGAGACATGCTTGGCCAGTCCATCACCTTTACCCTCAGCTTCTTTAGCGATGATCATGGTTCCCTCAATGAACTGTAGGTCCCCAGTGCCGGCGGCACTCATGCAGCCCCAGACCATCACACTCCCACCACCATGCTTGACTGTAGGCAAGACACACTTGTCTTTGTACTCATCACCTGGTTGCCGCCACACATGCTTGACACCATCTGAACCAAATAAGTTTATCTTGGTCTCATCAGACTAAGGTTCATGGTTCCAGTAATCCATGTCCTTAGTCTGCTTGTCTTCAGCAAACTGTTTGCGGGCTTTCTTGTACATCATCTTCAGAAGAGGCTTCCTTCTGGGACGACAGCCATGCAGACCAACCTGATGCAGTGTGTGGCGTATGGTCTGGGCACTGACAGGCTGACCCCCCACCCCCCAACCTCTGCAGCAATGCTGGCAGCACTCATACGTCTATTTTCCAAAGCCAACCTCTGGATATGACGCTGAGCACGTGCGCTCAACTTCTTTGTTAGACCATGGCGAGGGATGTTCTGAGTGGAACCTGTCCTGTTAAACCGCTGTATGGTCTTGGCCACCGTGCTGCAGCTCAGTTTCAGGGTGTTGGCACTCTTCTTATAGCCTAGGCCATGTTTATGTAGAGCAACAATTCTTTTTTTCAGATCCTCAGAGAGTTCTTTGCCATGAGGTGCCATGTTGAACTTCCAGTGACCAGTATGAGAGAGTATGAGAGCGATAACACCAAATTTAACACACCTGAGACCTCTTCCTGCTCTTCATTGTGTCTCTCAGCTCACCATCAGACTCACATTTTATTTAAATACCATCATAACGTTTCACTTGAACTGTATGTTTCTGTTCATGTTTGTCATCAGTTCAAAAAATGATAGATAATGTATGTTTCCCATTTATAAAAACACATATTTCCAAGTCAGCTGTGTATAGCAGTGGTCCTACATGAATTGAGACATTTCTCAAATCATAACTAATTCTCATTTATGTTCTTGTTTGTCCTTTTTTTTAAATTGGTTTCAACTTTGTGTGGCCCAACTGTGTAAAAACAGGATTCAGCAATGCTTGAATCAAAATCTGGTGACAGTTGTGGAGTCGTTTGCTTATCGAATCTAATTAAAGCACAACCACACAGTCATCAATAAGCAGATTACTTAAGTGTTAAGCTCTTAATAAATTACCCAAGGAACCTTTACTTTCATTGTTTGTCTTCTAATAAATGTTTAATGTTAAAAAGAATCCCAGCACCTGTTTGTAGACACAAAAGACTCAACAAGGCTCTTCTGCTATATTGAACTCAAGTCTTAACAACTTAAGCCTATCAAGACTATCAAGATTCAGAAGAAGCACTGTTGTTTTTGAATTGTTCCCAAATTAATCAGATTCACAGACATTTTTCACAGCAGACAATTAGACTTGTCATAGCAGGAAAAGCAAAGACGGAACTAATAACATTAACAATGGCTTCAATCCAGCAGTTATTACAATGCAGTGCAGCAATGAATGATGTTATTAGATAAGTCAAAATATCTGCTGGGAAAAACTTTCCCTCCTGGTTGTGTGTGTCCCCCTTAGAATGACTCTGTGGCCCCCAGTATAGAAACCTACTAGAGTCAATCACACCATAAACCTGCCAGTTGATACCTAATTATTGTTTCACTATATGTTTGTTTGCGGGTCTAAGTTAATGCAGCTAAATTAAACTGTTGTTGAAGAACAGTGAGGCTTAGCTAAGTAGGGTTATTTTTGTAACCACCACCAGAAACAACAACCCAAATAAAGATAAATAGCTGCTCAGTGAGAACTGTGCAAATTTAATTTCAAATGTGTTTATTTGGCTGAATCTGGATGTTCAAACCAACAAACAGTTGGACTTTTAGAAACCATGAAGAAGCTGGTTGCGTTCAGTTTCTTCTGTGTCTGGTGGTTTGTAGCCACCGTCATCCAGTACGACCACAGAACGTATAACTCGTTGGATATCCCGTACGTTAAAAGCTCATTAAAAATGACACCTTTGAACAAGACCCAAAACCTTTTTGGGGAGACGTTAATTAGCCAAATCTGTATTATTTAGATCCTCACCTTTTTTTCTTTTTTGCTTGGGACCCCTCATCATGTTTGAGTGGTTTTCAGTGTTCAGTAGTGTTTAAAAAAAGCTACGTCTGGAGAGCTACAGTTTTGTTTCTTTTTCTTTTTCCACCAGGGACCACCCCTGCGGGTCCCGACCGCAATGCTGGAAACCACTGGTACACGCTGAAATAGTTTAAAAATGTGGCAGAGAGACAGAAAAAAATCCAGCCCATAGTGTTATAAAATAGCTGAGTCATTTTCTAGCTGCAAAATCGAGATCTAGCTTCTGTCCAGGTTCCTTGTAGCTGCATCGATTCAAGTTTGTTAATTCTGGTGTCCATCTCCTGTTCAATAACCGCCCACCCGCACTGTTTATATATTAATCATACTTCTCCGATATTCTGAATGTGAGGTCCAGCAGCAGCAGCGGGAGCTCAGACCCAGGGGAGGCAGATGGCTCCAGAGTTCAGAGGGTTTACTGTCACATTCTGGCTGCAGTCACACTCCACTTGCAGTTTCTGAGCTGCAATTTTGAGACTGGATTTTATAATGTCAGATCCCTGTGCATCCACAGGTTGCGTATAGATGGCTTTGATGCTTTTCCTGTAATCATCTAAATCTTTGACTGCATTGCTTTTTCCTCCTCTTCCTCCCTTTGCATTGCTTGTTTGAGTGTTGTTGCTGAATATCATCCACAATTTTAAAGACATCTGGTGATGTTGTGTGGGATGAAAATGTCTTTTTTTCCCCTCCTTTTTGTACATCCAGACCATATAAATCATGGATCCAGGCTTAAAACTTAATACATCCTGTTGTGAATCGGAAGATAAAAGTTGAAGTTGAGCCTCTTATGTAACTTTAGCCTTTTTTTTAAATGCACGTCAGTCTGTGGTTTTCATGTGCTTTGTGCTCAAATACTGGAAAATGTATGTAGCCACAACATAAAAAACATGCTGCCCGCCTGCAGAATGTATCAGAAGATGAGCTGAACTGCGGGCTGTTTTCCCTTTTCTATGTTTATCAAG